AAGAGTTTTTTCTATAAGTTCTATTACTCTAGAGAACCCTGACTACATGGAAGTGACAAGTGTTTGTAACTACTGAGCCATGACTCTATCACCTAAGGTTAGATTTCTAAATAATTATATAAAATATTCAATGGATGAAGGAGAAAAGAAGAATGTCAGAAGAAAATCAACACGAACAGTCATAATCCTGTAAGATGTCTCCAAAAAAGTTATCCACATGAGTCTTAAAATTCTTCTTCACATCCTCATTTTTTCATATTTGCTGACTACAGATCTCCACTTCCATACCCTCCCCAACTGTTAGGAAACGTTGGTAATAATAGGTAAAGAAAACTGTTGCTGAGGACATGAATGCAATTCTTGACTACTGTTTAAAAAAAAAGCATCCTATTTAATTAATGTTATTTAATAAATCCCTTAAGCCACAAATAATTATATATTAATGCATTCGTTAATCCTGAAATTGTTGCTGATGAATATAAATAAAATGAAAACAAGCTAAAGAAATTTTTGGTGATCAACAAAGCTCCACAGAAGACAAAGGAATCCTATAGCCTGGAAGATGAAGACAAACACACCCACGAGGCCACTGTTTGAAAATGGTTAGGAAATGAATGGGGGAGACAACAGTATTACTAAATAAAAGTAACTAATACACAACCTTTAATAATAACTTGGAAGTCAATGCTTCAATTTCCCCAATCAAAGAAAAAAGACAGCAGATTGGATTAAAAGATAGGACCAAGAAACACAACTCAAAGATTGACACTATCTTAGGATAAAAGGATGGAAAATTATAAACCTTCTTCATCCTCTAACTTTCAAAATTAATTTTTAGAACATTTCAGAAGTTTTTATCAGGATATATGGACAGTGAGATTGTTTGATGGTTCAATGGATGAGTTTTTTATTTTTGAAGAGAGGAATCCCATGCTGTTTTTCATGGCAGCCATGTTAGTTTTCATTCCCGCCAAGGTGGGCAGTTTTCCTTTGGTCCATATCCTCAAAAGAATCATCTCTTCTCTTGCTTGGGAATTATTAGAGGGACATGCTTGAATGCCAGACTGACATCTGCTTTTGTTGTGGCTTCTAGTAATAGCAAAGTACATCACTAAACACTGACTCAGAGCTGACAGGCCAGTGTGCACACCGGTAATAATCCCAATTAGTCCTGATATCTTTAGCCTGTTGAAATACAGTGAGACATGGCTTCCTGGTGGAATTCACCTTCATAGCTTAAATAGATCTCAGTAGGATCCTATCCAATAGTAAGTTAATGCTGGAACAAAAGTGACAGACAATTTACTTTCCTGGGATGGGTGTCATGGGAAGACATTCCTACCAATGCACCTTTAGGGTTACTTGATTTCAGATCTAACATCCATGGGTGATAAATTGACCTATCAAGAAGGGCTTATCTCATCTTCAACAGCACCAGCAGCCTGGTACCAACACCATCCCAAGAGGCTGCATGCACACTATCAATTATAAGAATATTCCCCTCTGGTTTGTGTTCTGATGGTGTCATGCCATTGTTACCAAGTGACAGCTCCTCGGCTATTCGTGTTTTCTCACAGAAAGAATTTGTCTAAGAGGCTTTGAGCAGAAGCTTGCTTAACAAAGCAAAGAAATGCAAAATGAATGTACACTTCAGGCTGTCCTGAAGGTAACAGTAGCCCACTGAGCTTTGCATGGTAGAATTTACAGAAATTTCTATGGTCCCAATTCCATGATGTCATTTTTAAGTTCCCTCTTGAGAACATCCTCTATTCTACATTAAGGAAATTGTTCCAGACCCAAGATATCCCCAGAGTTTTTCCTTCCCTGATCATTGGCATATACATTGATGGCATGTATGGTTATTGGGAAAGCCCCTAGTGTCTTAATTTCTTAAATGACAGGAGGAGCCCGACTGTAACTTCAAGGGTTTCTAACCACAAAGGAACATTACAATATCAGAAGACACAGCCACCAGGTAAAAGATGTAGTCCCCTTGATTGTCTCCCTGGTCAGAAGGTGTCTAACTAGAAACAGGTGGGTGTGCATGACCCCTGCCTCCCTCCTGCTTGTATCAGCTTAGCTACAGTTGCAAATATCACTGTTTTAATGGTTGATTTACAGTGCTGCTTTTCTCTGAACGGTTTTCCTAAAATTTTTATCTCCTAAAAATTTTCTCAGCCAGGTGGTGTTGGTGCACGCCTTTAGTCCCAACACCAGCTTGGTCTCCAGAGCTACTTCCAGGACAGCCTCCAAAGCCACAGAGAAACCCTGTCTCAGAAAAAAAAAATTTTTCTCAAAATGAATTGTTCTTTAATGTTTGATACATTTGAAAGTTATGATCAACAACAATATAAGTAGTTATTTCTGACAGAAAATAATATTGAGATTTTGTGATGGCTCTGTGGTTAGTAGCATTGATTAATCTTGAAGAGGATCAAAATTTGATTCCAGTACCCACATGGCAGCTTGTAACCATCTATACCTCCAGTCCCATGTAATCTAATGTCCCCTTCTGTTTTCCAAGGGTACTTCATACACATGGTATACATACATGTAAATAGAACACCCATACACAGAAAATAATTTTAATGTAAAAATTATTTATTTTATTTTATTAGTTCAAATTAGGAACAAGCTTGCTTCAGATGTCAATTTCTTCTCCCTCTCCCTCTCCCTCTCCCTCTCCCTCTCCTTTCCCTCCCCTCCCCCCCCACACCCCACCCCCCCCTCCCCCTT